TGAATGGTAGGGAATCTCGATCATCATTTCACAACCAAGGGAACTTGGGTCCCCCAAGGTGAGCTGTTTTATCCACAGTGGTAGAATGTGAGTCAGTACAGAGCCTGAGTTAGCACCAGGGACTCTGTGATCTAATTCAAAGAGAATTAAAAGTGGAGGCCTCAGATCCCCAGCCCACAGAGCCACGTGGCCTTCCCTGGATGGAGAAATCAAAGACTTCAGGTTTTCTTTCACTCTAGAAAACAAGCAGGTGCTTGCAAGCTAAACTCATCTGCTTTTAACTCTGAAGTGCTACACAGAAATGACTGAAGAGACTGTTTAATACATTCGTCTTAAATTAACCTGAGGAGTTAGTGACAGGATGGGAAGGAAATGTGCACAGGCTAAGTATTTATAGGAGCAACCATAAACTGAGGAGAAACTGGAGAAGGAAGAAGAATCCTGTTCTGCAGCATCCAGGGAAGTGTTTGGAGATGCTTCAGTATGAAACACAGCACAGTTCCTAGTAAAAGAGAAGCCTGAGGTTTAAGGCAAATTTTTGCTTCTCAGGAAATGTGCAAAATAGTAATTTTCTAAGACAGTCTTTACTCTTTAAATTCCACATTTAACACCAAAACACTAACCACAAAAATTAAACCTACTCCCAGTTGCTTTAATCATCACGATGTGTCACAGAATGTGGCCAAGGTTTTGCAGTGGTGTGCGCGGCCACAGGGTTTCCACTCATATTCCTGTGTTCTTAACACAAAGCGTTTTGTTAGACAGTTCAGAAAGGAAAATGGTGACAAGGACAAGGAGACAAGTGATACGTCTGGCCATAATAGCTCTTCCTGAGTTCATGTCTTATAAATATGTCTAGCAGCCCAAGGATCTTTCTGTCCTCCCAACACAATCTGCAAGCTTTATCTGACTCGGGCATTAGGGGAGAACATGTAGTGTCCAGATTAGGTTGGCTTAGCCCCAGTCCTCAGATTTGTGCTTTAAAATTATGAGTCAGCACTTTTTCCAAGGGTTCTTCCCCTGCTAAGTATTAAAAAGACTGGCTTGAGTATTAAGAAGACTGGGTGGTATCTATGAGCTGCGCAGCCCACCAATGGTCTCCTGCCTCAAGTACTACTAGACAGTGAGACTCAAGTGGTTACAGGTAATTCTAAGACAATAGGGTCTGGAGCCCAGATCTCCCATCTGTCTGGTTGCCGTACCACCCTGGGACAGCAGGTCCAAACCATGTGATAGAGGCATGCTGCCTTTGATGACACTTCAAAGCAACATGAGAGAGAGAGAGAGAAAGAGAGAGAGAGAGAGAGACAGAAAGAGAGAAAGAGAAAGAAAGACAGATGGACCAGCCACGTCACATTAACAACAAGAACTTGGACCCATAGTCTCCCCAGTTCACAGGAAAAATGCAAAAGGAATAAAACGAGATGTCTAGCTCCCCAAAACATAATACCAAGAGCTGGCTACCTGCAGGCATAAACAGTTGATGCTACCAATGATGCCCTTATAGACACCAACAAGAGGGAGAAGGAAACCAGAGAATGCAGGAACCAGGCACCAAAAGATCCCAGTGTGTGTTCACAGAACATGTTCCAGTATTCTGCCCTATGGCGCTTGACAGAGTGGAGCCAGGCTGCAGGTTCCACCTACAGCAGTCACCCAATGCTCCTCCAGAACAATTCTTATGGAGCTGTGCAAGAAAAAGCAGGGGTCAGGTGGAGACCAGGACAGACCAGGCTTGCCTTTAAGGCTTTCTTTCTGTGTATTCCTTCTGGATCTATGACTTAGGCAGCTGAGTGACTCAGGTGATTCTCTGAGTCCTGGGAACAGATAATGCTCTTCCCTGATCATGGCACCCACATTTGGGAAAATAGAGGCAAAATAATAGAAAAACAAATACAGTAATTCTTCAAGGTTAATGCACATAAGGAATTCAGAAAGTATAGAGGACAGAGGATCTGTGGGAAGGTAGTCAGCAGTATAAATAGGAGACAATAAAATTGCAAATGGCCAGCCATCCATAGAGCCAGGAATGGTTTTCTCAGTAGGCAAAGGATGACTGTGAAGGAGACGAGGAGAAAACACTTGGCACAGCACTGTCCCTATCAACATGTCCAGGCGGCAGGCAGAGGCTGGTCTCTGATGTCAAGGTGAGAGGCCATAGCACAGAACACTGGTGCTTGGGTAGGTAACCCTAGGCCCTATCTGGACAACTTGGTGGCCATCAGGGAATGAGGGTTATGCACAGAAGTGTCAAGTGCTCAGGAATGTCCAGATCTTCTCTTCTCACAAGGACAGCAGGTATCACTTTCTACTGGCCACTTGGCTATAAAACCACAGGGATTTTTGTTCTGTGGCAGCCAAAGCTGACCAGATTCTTAACTTTATGGTGGTGCCCTATCCAGTGAGCTGTCTGCTTCAGACCCTTAGTAACCCGGTGTACCTCTTCCCCTGCAGACAGTGCCATACGATTTTGCATATTATTCCTACCTAATAGCCAATGTACACCCCTCGTAGTGTGCCTGGCTGAAGCAGACATCATCCTAAAAGTAGATGCACTGCCATCTGAATGCTGCAGATGGGGGGAAAGAGTGTGGCTCATTGTCAACTTACTGACCTCTCCTGTAGGCATGTCCTGGGGGGTACCTGGCTCAGGTCACCCTCCACTTAACAAAGCACCCCAGCTGTAGCTTCCCAGAGAAGTGTATTGGGGGAGCGCAAACAGGAACCCACTTGACAGATAAAGTTTAACAAGAACTCATATTAGATTACTCTGTGATTATATGGTTCTGCGATGTGATAAATTGGTTAATAACAAGATTCTCAGTGTAGCTGCTTAATAGGAATTCAATAATGACAGGTACCCAGGATAGTATTATTAGCCTAGGAAATCTAAGCACTGTCCGTAATCAGTGTAACTCAAACCTATCTAGGACAGGCTGAAATGGCTGTGACCTGAAGGGCGCGCTTTCTGTATTCACCAAGCACTTTGGTAAAATGTCTCTTCTGTACTCAACACACTACATCTTACAGACTCGACCTAAATGGTTAGCTTCCTGCTTAACTTTTCAAGTAGAAGAATAGATATCTTTATGAGTCTGCTCTTGTTCCCATTATAAAATTAGTGATCCACAGATAAGTAAAAATTAAAAGATAGCTGGATTGCATCATATAGTTTTCTTTGGGAAGTGGGGGATATTATCACAAACTACAATTCCCAAAGGGAAAAAAAAAATATTACCTCTCCTTGAAGTGGAAGAATAGAGCTTAAAGAGCAGTAAGGGACTGAACTTGAGTCCCCACTCCTACCTCCTAAACCAGGGTAGAAATCATATGTTCTCTCTGTGGCACTGCCTCACAGAGCTGGTGTGAAACTTTCAGATATGAAGCACATCCTAAGGCCTGCACTCCTCGCAGCTGCCTCTACGAGGGACTCCACGGCCATCATCACACAGTCTACCTTAGCAATACTTGAGTTCTTGAGGTTTTGTCTTATTTTTGTAAACTATGGTACATCAAAACACAGCCTATGAAGTGGGGAAAAGAGTAAGTCATTCTGGGTACAGAGGGTCACTGCCATAAACTACACTATATTTTTTTAATTTTTGAGTAATGTTATACAGTCTTTGACAATAAGAAAAATGAAGCACTGAGCTTAAGATATAAAATGGTCCATGAGATGGGGCTTGAACTTATATTTAGAACTCTAGGCAATACAGGTTTGCTGTTTTGTCTTCCCAAAATGTCAAAATTTGGATAGGATTAATGGTTCTCTAAATCAACAGGATTTTGTGTTTATAAATGGTTTATGGTTCCAATGTTTATAAAATGTTAAGAGCTCATGCATTATCATCCTCGCCAAGACTTTACTGAAATCTACTGACATTTAGTCTGGCGTCCAGAGCAGATAAGGAAAAGGACACAGCACAGTTCTCCCAAGCATGGTATGAAGCAACATCCTGCCCCAAACCACAGGGGTTCTTGGAAGGGTAGGGATAAGCAAGAAGGGAGAAAACCTTCCCCAATGCTGGGATCACCAAAGAAAAATAGCACATGGAGAAAGGGTATACCTTATGCCAAGAAACATCATTAAGAGTAAGAGATGGGAGACCTAGAATGTACCTTTCTAAAGACATGGCAAGAAGGAAGGACTCCACACAAGCTGACAGCATTCTTCAGAGAAATTTACTAAGAAATAACAACTATTTTTTAACTCATCTTTACTCTCATCTTTCTAATACAAACATCACTCCTGGCAAAAGTTCTCCCACCTAGCTACATGTTTACACACTATGGTTCCAGTGATATAATTATATTTTTGTAAAGTTCTTACTCAATAGACTATCTGTGCTGCTACCTGAAAAACAGTGTTTGATAACAACTCCATAACATCAATGGTGTTGACTGGATAAACATACTATTCTCCCCAGTATAGGTCTGACACTATGGCTCTTAGGAGCTTTTTAGAGGAATAAGGTTTTCAAGGAGAATGTAAGACAAGGTCATGTCATTTCACAATGGCTTCAGGGGAGATACACAGATTTGCCAGCCCTGTGCCAGGCTGGACAGAAGCAAAGCTTGCGTTCTCCAGGTAAGAAGGTGACTTCTACCTACACCTGTTTGGGTTATCTATTTTATTCCATAAAGCACATGGGGACAGTCTACGAATAAACAGTGAAGTTATTTGTAGTTCACACTTTTCTTTTCAACTGATACCTTAAATACTTATACACTTGGAGACCACGTACATTAACCAAACTTTAAAGATTCACCCATGAAAATAAGTTACTTTCCAAAGAAAATTAGCCTGTTTAAAACATTCTACAGCAGTGTAGAGCAAAAATATAATGTTACCAGTTGCATAATGTTGTCATAAAATTACACTATAAACAAATGATGAATGATCATTACCCTGGTATGGTATTGCTGAATTTTGCCATCCCCAAGGGGAATTTTGATACTGGAAAGATTGAGCACTAAATTCTTTCATTTTGTCTTTCTAGTGTGGAGCTGGATTTTAAGCAGCAAGAAGACAAACTCCAGCCTGTACTGAAGAAACTGCATCCTATTGAGGAAACTCAGGTCGCACCTTCGCCTTACACTCAGGAGACTTCCTCCTCAACGCCCAAGCAAAAATCTAAAACTGAGTCTAAAAAGCACGGAAGATGGAAACTCTGGTTCCTTTAAAACTCTTGATGTGTAGTCTCAAGGCTGTCTTTAAACCCACTGGAGTTAACTGCGGTGCAGATACACGCACTCCCTGCTTCTCGCCCTGCGTACCAAAAAGGCCTTTTGTACCAACAGATCATTAACAGAGCAAGGTAGTAAATGCTACGCCTTGCCAGCTGTTCTTTGCAGTTCACTGATGTGGGATGTAAAAATTTGAAAAGAAACTTATATAGTCAAGGATGATAAGTAAATTCTATCCCCTTCCTTCCCAGATCTACAAGTATCAGGCTGTCACTCTGTACACAGCTAAAACTCATAATTATTTCCAAGCCTTTATTATTTTTTTTAAATTACAAGAAGAAAAAGCAAGCCTTATGTTTGCAAAGGACTTCATTTTTATGTTTCATTTTGCAAATAAGCAGGGGGCGAGTGCAATTTTCAGCACATCAAATTCCGGAGAAAGCACAATTTTTTCAAGTGGTCAGAGACCATGAATAATCTCTAAAATGTGACTCTATGTATATTTGCCTTCATGTGCTGTAGCGCTAAACCAAGTGACCACATCTCAGTGTCACATTGACACCTCAAATTTAGCATCTAGTTCATCTCCAGACCAATCACATGTTTACTCCTCATTTTCCAAATAGCCACCAGCCAGGAGTCCCCAAAGTCAGAACATGCCTTTAATAACTGCAAGTTGACAGGGTCAGAGCTATTGGACATTAAGCTTTCTTAGATCTCGTTTTTAATCTTTTGGTACCCAAAGGCCAAATGATAAATTCTGGCAAGAATTTGAAAACACACATAGAGATACACAGTGGATAATTCAGTCACCAATAAATCACAGGCTCCCACACCATGGCAGAAAGTGTTTCTGCAGATCAATCCTTGACATTGTTCGCCCTGTTAGCACAGCCAAACGTTTTATATAATTCGTTATGCTTTGTAACAACTGTGCAAGATCTGACCATCTCAAAGAGAAACTGTGTTTTATTTAGCTGCTACCAACAGACAGACTTAATGTCATCTACATTTAACCTACTAGTAAATTGTACTAAATGACATACTTAGGGGAAAGCTGTGAATCAAATGTTTTTAGGTATTTTTTAAATCCACAGGAACACTTGGAATTCTCTCTTGATTACACATTGCTATGTAAATCTTAGTTCCTTTATTTTTTCACTCATTTCTTTGCACCTTTGCAAGTATCTTTTTATAGAAATCAAAATCCCCTAGTCTATTTCTGACTTTGTCTATCAATTTTTTGCTTTTCACAATAGGAAGTAGGGATCTTATTTTGCCTTTTTTTGTACAACTTAAATTTTGAATAGTTTGTGAACATACCAGAAAACCTAGCCTTCAAGTTACTGTCCAGCAGTTTCATATGTGTGTACAGAAAGGCATACCAGGCCGAGTAGATGCCAAACACCAAGGCGGCTCACCTTGGTAAGAGGATCTCAACCTGCTTTTTTCAGATTAGAGCTCCTTCTTGCAGTTCATGTTCCTTTTGACTCAACAGCAGTTTTAATTTAGCTTTAGGGTTTAGGCTCTATGGGAACCCAGTGATCAGCAGTCAGTTCAGGACTTAAAAACTAACAGTACACTATACACACATTCTACGGAGAGGTATGTTTAATTTAAAACACACAAACATACCTATTTAGTGAAATACTAAATAAGGATTCAAATCCCTGAAGAGCAGGAAACAGAACTGAGAGATATTTTTGTGCAAGAAGAACAAGCAAGTTGATCCCGTACCATGAAGGAAGTGCAATTGTTTCATGTAGATGAAAAATGAAAAATTTGAAAACGTTTCATGTTTTTATACTGTTTTTAACTAAAGTTATAAAAATGTTTGCAACAAGTTATCTCTCCTATGTTTTAAAAATCCCAACCATCTCAGTGTGTTGAACAAGGGTATATAAGCAGCTTTCTAACTAGTACTGTACATCTGTCCAAGTGAGAGGACATCATATTACAGAAGAGTCTCCATTTCAAATCAGTCTAGACCAAAATGTAAAAAGATTTATATTTCTAGAATAAAAAAAAACTGAAGAAAAATTAATTCAGCTCTAAAAATAGTATTATCCCAAACAGAAAACAGTGTTTTCAAAATCATTTCATAGTTTAATTGCAATGTGTCACTAAAAGATAGTGATCCTTCTCTTGGAAAGATTTAAGTAAAAACTTTGATACAAAACCAAGGTGGAACACACAGTGTCCCCTCACATGTAGATGTACACATGGCATTACGTATAGAGATTAAATTATTATACTTGTCATTAGGTTCTTTATTAATTTTTAAATAAAAAAGCAAAGGTAATGTTCTGTGTGGCTATCAAATTTACTTCATGCCCTTAATATTTTGGGAAAATAAAATTAAGAAAATAAAGCAAAAAGCGTATTTGGGCTGAAAGGCACTACAATGGATCCTAGGCAGGTCAAAGCGTTGTGTGGCTTAGGCACTGTCCACAGTTTCCAGAGGGGCAGCGCTCTCAGGCCTGCCTACTGCTGTGCTCTGGCATGAACCTGGTCACTGAGATGAGCCTCACAGCATGATGCACTTTACTGAAGTCTAATTTTTAAAGAAACTCAAAGGATACAACTAAACTCATCCTCTGTTGCTATGCAAATCCTCCCACAGTCCAGAACAAGCAGCTTCTCTTCAAGTGACATCAAGCCCGTCTCCAGCCCTAGGGCGAGCTTCTTCCTTTCTTCCCTCTTCTCACCCTCAGGTGAGAGACAAGGACCTCATCTTGGCTGAGCCCCTGCTTTGCCTGTTGAGAACAGCCCAGCCTTGCTCCAGTATCCTCAGGGAAACAGCAGTGTCACCTAGGCTGCGTATGGGAGGAAGTGCCTCCCTCCTTCCTCCCCACCCCACTCCTTGTCTGTAACAACACAATCTACCTGCAAGGAAGGGGCACTGCAGACATGAACATGAGGCTCTTGCTACCCTCACATGCTCCTCAGGAAGAAAGAAGAAGATAAAGCAATCGCCGTGTGCTGAAAAAGCAAGCAGGCCCAGTGTGCTATCCCAGGGTAGGTAGGGGGAGTATTCCATCTTCATTCTATAATCAGCTGTGAGCCACCTACTGGTACCACTGCAGAGATCCTCTCCTATAACACCTAGATATAACCAAGGACATCGGTTACTAAACATAGAGCTCACTGTCACACCACAAGTGTGTGACTCAGCTCCAAACAGTCCAGGACCACTGCCTTGCACATTGGATCTCAGATACTCATTCTTCCCAAAGCCATCTGGGTAAATAGGAGGAAACCGGAGTCCAGGAAAACTGTGCTACCTCAGAAAGAGCTTTAGCAACTGGCAGAAGTTTCTTGTGCATCTTGCAGCTTTGCTATACTGTCTGTCTATAGAGCTGAGTTGCCAGGTCAACAAGGTATAAAGGGTAAGGAGCCGTGGCCCAGAATCAGTGACAGTGGCCTACTCACTGATGAAAACAAGGAGAATGCTTCACAACATCATTTTCCTTGAAAGATCACTGCAAACATGCCATAACAAAGAGACACAATCATTAACGAAAACTTACAAGACTTATTGTCCAATAAGTATTTTGCTTTTTGTCTTTCATAGGAGAGAGCAAGAACTAGAAACAAAGGGTCATAAATTTTTCCATTTCATGCTGTATGTAATAGGGCACATTTACAGAACCCACCAATGATGGACTGGGAACATTTTTATCAGCAAGTATCATTTAACTTGATTACTAATCAAGGCAGCTTCATGAGTGCAATGTTGCCTAAGTATCAAAACAACCACTTATCAAACCAACATATCTTCTTTTAACTATAAAAACTATCCTGAGCACATTTGGAGAGGCTAAGTATACGGCCAGTTTACTCACTGGTAGTAAACAGTTATATGATGCAAAGATCAGAAATAACAGCCTGTTCATTAAATTGGCATAAACTAATCATCCTATAATGTGTAGTGTATATTTAGGCAGCTTACAGTCATGTGAAAGCTGCTTATTACCTTATAAATTGCTCCATAATTAAGTACCTTTGCAATGTGGTATGAATATGCAAGAATTTTACCCACACGATAACATGATTTTTATTTCTGCTGACCAACTTGAAAACAATTCTCAGGGCCACAGGAATACAGTAAGAAAAATTGCTGTATCAACTAAAAAAAAAAAAAGGCATCAGTACTTACAGATAAACATGTGTTAGAATATTTTCTGAAGGCTTAATGTTTATAAGGCTCATGTAGACTTACAAACAGGGTAATTGGACACACTTTGTATGTGTATACAAAAGCTAGACGCTGACCATTTGGAACATTTATAATGTATTTTCCGTGTTTCAACTGACCTTTAAAACAAAAAAGCAACTTTTAAGAGCACATTCATACTTAAATTCCATGAGAATAAACATCTCGTGCAGGAGAATGAATAGCTTTGCGAAAATAGCTATGAGTTGTAGTAAAAAAGGCACAATTCACTCAAAAACCTGTTCTAATTCTCTATTTTCCAAATGAGGAAGCATGTCAGGTCCTTATAAATCACCCGGTCTCAGAGCAAACACCGAGTTTTCATTAACAGCAAACTCCCAAGTAATGACGGTGTCATCCTGATGAAGAACTCCCTCAAAGGACCACTGTTCCCAAAAGCAGTTGTCCAGAGTAAAAACAAAACTGTGTCCATTACTTGAGTCCATGAGTCACTAGGCTCCAGTAGTCACAAGAGTAACTCCAGAGTCCAGGCAGAATTTTTCCCTTCTCTAATTCTGCTTCTAAGGATTTTCCTTGGAACAGGCCCACATTTCCACTTTGCTGAATTAGCAATTTTCAGTCTTCTGGTGTGTATCCCAGCCAAGGAACTTTAACAATCCTTCCTACTTGATTACATTTTTAAGAGATCCAGTAACATTATAAATCTGATCACTTGAAGGAAGCAACACAGTTAATATGAAAGGCGAGGGAACATTCCTGTGTTAACCATTTTGTCAGCATCCATCCTTTGTGTGTTACTGCAGCAAAGACGCCGGGACTGAGGGGCACTAGGTCTCCACCAGATGGGTGCTCTGGCCACCTGCACACAACAGAGGGTCCCTACCCCAGCCACAAACCGCACATACTGATGAACAATGCTGCCTATGAGGGCCTCAGTGGCCTTTCATATAGGAAACAGAAATAATCTGACATCAGACGTAATATAAAACTAAGTAGTTTACTTAAGTATACCACAGAATTAGACTACAGTGGAATAGACAGAAAAAGACCTTTGATTCTTGGTCATCCAACAAGTAGAGTTTTATTGAGGTTTTGTTTTGTTTTTTAATAAAATACTTAGAATCATGGGATATTCGTGGGACTATGCCTGAAATACATTTCCACAACCATTTCAAATGTAATGAACAAATGACATGTAACTGAGTTAAAGTATAATTATTATAAATATTACAGACTCAGATAAAAGACGCCTCATTGTGTATCACAGCTTAACCCTGGTTCTCTATTGCACACATAACCAGACAGGGCAAACAGAAATATAAAACTGCATTCCCAATTAGTTTCATATCCAGGATGGCAACAGGTCACATTCCTAGCATTACTGTTGTCAATATTATGGAATAAATGTAATTGGGGAACCATCTCTATTCAAAAGTGTTTAAATCACTTTCACTTTAAAAAATCCATTTTCAGCAATTATTTAGAACTTTCCAGCTGATTCACAGTTATAAAATCCAATACACTTATGCAAAATTGAGTAACACATAAAGATTGAAATTTCCCAGTTACAAGGAAATGGTATAGCTAATCCAAAATAGATCTGAAGGTATTGTCTGCTCTTTTTCCATCCTAGAAGATGCACTGATTAAGGTTTTGTCCACCTTGTTAGGGCTGTTTTTGTGCTGATTTTCCTTTAATCTAAATTCACAGAGCAATAGTGACATTAAGAAGTTAATCCATTCATCTACATCTGCTGCAAACTGGCAGGGCAAGGTTAAGCATACTAACCAGGGAAAGCATTTCAGTCTTACTCTCTTCACTTCCAAAGAGAACTTGGAGTTGGTGGATGACTGAATGATCCTTCTAAAGAACCTACATTTTATGTAACAAATGTCATTTTTAAAGTATCTTAATGTCATCACCAACTAAATAATTATACTTTATTCAGACTATTTCTTTTTTGAGATTTAATAGCAGCTTAGTTTTACAAACTTTATAAGTAATATAGATGCTAGAATTGAAGAGGAATCAGTTTGAGATTTCAATATACTTCTTGTCTCTTTAAACTTCTGTTTCGGAGGGCCGGGGCTTTGCAGCACGGTTCTGGATGTGGAGCTAGGCAGAGTTCCTTGAGGCCCTGACACTATTTTAGATTCACGCCAATCGTCCAATACAAACATGGCTCCCATTGGGTAAGACTGAGGATGGGAACTCACTATCGTCCCCATGTCTCACATCTCTTAAAAGTTCCTTAGAACACATGGGCACTCAAAGCTGAGACATCCCCAAACTCTTGGGCTTTCATAACATGAGCACTCAGTTTTTGGTCTGGCCCTTCTACCTTCTAGATACCCTGGAGTTTGGTCCAATACAAATGACACAAGGTAGAACATAGAAAGGAGCTTATTTCCCTGGAAAACTGCCTCCCTAACTAGAGCAGAGATCAGGAAACAATTCATGGCTCTCTGTCACCTGCTGAATGGGACACACTCAGAAGCACCGTGTGTCTTAAGTCTTGCAGCAGAGACTGGGAGCAAACTCTGGCACCATGCCCAGGCTCTGCACTAGTTTTGCCATGCTGCATGAAGGACTCCAGTAATTTTTCTGTCTTTAGGACATTTTCTGTAGCTGCATATGCAGGAGAGGACAGGTACTGAATGAGACTCTACTTACTAGCTATACAGAGCCCAGAACATAGATAGGTACTCAATGAGGAATTTCTATTTTTGTTGCTACTGTTATCCTCATGACTGAGATAGGAGAAATTTCCCAAAGACTTCCTGGACTACGTGGTTTGAAAAGAAGTATTATGTCCTGCATGCTCTGTTCTACCTTTTGATCACACTATTAGCATGTTTCATCATCTCTTCATATTCTAAAGTACCTGTCTAAGTTTTTATCAGCTTTTTCTTTGCCCTCTTCTCCCTTATTTAACTGCTGGTCAGTGGGCTATTAATCAAGTGAACACAACCTAGGAAGCAATCCCTAACCAAAAAGTTGAGGAGATCGCACAGTAGTATAGCATATACCTAGCATGTGCCAGGTCCTGGATTACAGCAAAAGACAGGACTGTGTCCCCTTAACCAAGAGCAGAACACTTTAATCAGAAGTAGGACAATGCACCCTTACTAGAAGCAGAACTGTCCCACCCAACCAGAAGTGGGACCATGTCAACCTAATCAAAGATAGGACTGTGCCACCATAACCACAAGCAGGACTACACTCCCCTAACTAGAGACAAGACTATCTCATCAGTTTCTCTGTCTCCATATCTGCCATCTCTCCTGCAGAATACTTCCAGATGGCCCTCACTCACTCATTGTAACCCCTTAGGTGGCACTGTGTCTCGCCTCTCTAGCATTTCTAATTCAGACCTTTCCAAGGAGGATCGTAACAGAAAGACACAACACTTGGTGCACCTCCAAGCCACACACCATGAACCATTTGTCCTAATTCCCACATGAGCAGGTGCACCAGGAACACCAAACCTCAGGTGTACCCCCAGGGCTACCACTACTGCTGCATGGGACTCTGTCTCCTCTCAAAGAATGGGCACAATACAGAATATGTAGAAGCAGAAATATTTACATGCATGTAATAATGGAAAAGTCTACTGCAAATGAAGTTCATGAAAATATTTTGTTTCCTAATTTGAACATACATGATAATTGAAACTTAAATGAGAGACATTCAGGAAAACTCAGATCACTGCATGTCCTGAACTCTGAGACAAGAACTAGACTATTTCACTAGCTAGAAATAAATTCAGGCCATGCTTGTTGGCCTTCTGTGCACTCAAGAGTAGCTGCCTGACTCCCAATGGCATCATCCTAGGACACCAGGCACAGACACGGAGCTGAACCCAGTGCTGCACTCTGGAAACTCATCTCCAAACTGTCCAAAGAAAACATGCTTCCACTTAGCTGTTCACTTCCCAGCTATCTAGTAATAGCCGAGGTCACACACAATGAAAGACCAACATGCCTTGTCTGACAGCCAGTGAAAATACTGAATGTCCTTTCTGTTCTTTGACTAGGAAAGTCGCCCTCCTCACAAAGGCCATTCAGCAAGGTCAGTAGGATGGTAATATATACAACAAATGACAAAGGGTAAATGGGACCTATGTGTGAGTCTTTCACCTGAATAATCAAATTTAAAAACACTAGGGGTAAGGAATTGTTAAGACTTTAGGAGAAAACACATCATAATCTGAACTTAGATTAGCTAAATTATACTTAAAACATTCTTGCAAAAATTAATAGTTTTCCAGTTATAACTACTGTCCATTAGAGAAACAACCTTAACACATTCAAATAGACAATAAAATAGCCACATTGTAATTCCTCAATTACTTTTTAAGGTCCTTCATAAAATTTTATTAATAACACCTTAAATGTAAACATAAAGAAAAAAACTGCCAGCAGAAATGAGAACTTAGAAGAAAATGGGTATTTTTCCAGAGGTCAAGTAATAAGAAATCTATTACTAAATGTTTACCCTCCAACTTTGATACTTGCTTCCAGAATCATGGAAAATAAGAATATTTTCTATACTTAGATTGTGTTGTGACTAGCTCACTATATTTTCAGAAAATAAGCTCATTTTAATGGCAGTTGGATAAGAACCAGATGGAATTTGGGGCTCGAGAATATATGTCATTCCCAGGAAGATGCTCTCAGCCACAGTTAAGCACCCAAGCATATGCCACTGAGCACTTACGATGAGTTCAGAATCCCGCCCCATGGAAATGACAGTTCGGTTCACCGTACGAAGCAGCTTCTCCATGATGATCTGAACGTGCCTCTGCGTCGGGCCCTGGAGGAAGACACAACAATGAAAACCAACACCAAAGACAATCGCTGGCATGCAAGCCCAACGGTAGTGATTGGATCTACTTACTCTATAAACAGTAAATCAATTATAACCCTTAAGAGAAGAAAAATGGTACTTGTCAAAAGCAAAAGCCTTCACCAAGAAAGCAAAGGGCATTTTATTAATCACAGTCCATTATGATAATGTGTTATATCATCATCATAATTTAAGTAAACCTTAAAACGAAAATCAAACCCAGTTAAACAATATATTATTTATCAACTCTGATTAGACCACCAATTTTCTAAAGATTCTTGGGCATTGGTAAGTGGAACATGAACAGATAAGTAACTCCACACTGCTCTGCATGTTAAGAATCACTAAGTCACATACAGCACAGTGCTCAAATATCGTTTAGTAAACTACTTCAAACTCACATTGCCGTGTAATTTTCTAGCTGTAAAATAGCATTCCTATTAGTAGGATACTGGATTCATCTCCATGAATGTGGACCTGATTAGAGGTGTGCTAGGGCTCTTCCCTGCAGTTCTAACTTCCTCCCAGAGATTTGGCCTATAGCTTTTTACCTGATCTTTTCTCCAAATAGGATAAGTGAAGTGCCTGGAATGGGACCCCAGAGGCTGGTCTTGGGTGACCCTTCCAAACCCTTCCCAAAAAGATGGTGTTTGGAAAAGCAGAAGTCATCATTATACATAGACTGAATCTGATCCCTTTCAGCAAAAGCACTAAGTAGGCTTGGAGAGAATAAGCCAATGTTGGAGACGAAGAGCATGTCTCGGAGTGTAGAGCAGAAAGATATCCAGGTCAGGAATGAGGGAGTTCCTGTCACATCCTGTATACTTAAAACCCACCAGGGCCAGGCATAAAGATAGGCAGAATTCAGTTACCACCTTTCTAGACACACAAGGGAAACCAATGGCATCATACATGTGTGCATACATATGTGTATAAACAAATATGCTGGGCTGTGGACAGGAAGCAGAGGCTAAGACTTTATATGTGCTTACAGCAAATTCTGATCACAAAAGAGGAGACAAAGGAACAAGCACAATAATTTAGAAATGGGAAAGAAAATTCTAGAGCTAAAAATGCACTTGGGGCCTCTTCCTTCCTTCCCTTTAAAACTCTCAGAAGAACCATCAGTTCAAAAGAAAGAAAAGAAAGAAGGGAAGGAAGAAGGGAGAAAGGAAGCTTTGTGCCTGTATTACTTTAATAAAAAATAAGATTTGCAAGAAAAACAGAGGTAATTAGCCAAGTTTTAGCATCAAATCCTTTTATCTAATCTTAAGAATTAAAATGTAGAAAAAAAAAAAAAAAAAAACAGGGGCTGGGGATTTAGCTCAGCAGCATAAGCGCCTGCCTTGCAAGCAGCCAGTCGTGAGTTCGATCCCTGGTACCGATAAAAACGAAAAAGACCAAAAAAAAAAAAAAGAATTAAAATGTAGGCCTTCTGGAGTATTTTACTAAGAAGAGATAGGCCAAAAGGAACTGATTTCAATGCAGAATGATAAATACTGTCAATAATCATGATACACAAACAAAGATAACTTAAGGTTCCTGGAGGACCACCAATATGGCTCTCCTGGAATGAAGAACAAGTGTCTCCATTTTGGCTAAATCTGGCCCTGACTCTTGTATTTATGTGAAGAGTTCGCTAGGATATTGCCTTATGCCCCCAAGTGGCTTTAAGCAATCTAAATGGGTCTAGCCAGGTGCTGATAAGTAGTCTTTAAAGCAACCCCACAAATCAATGATGTCCCACCTACAGCTTTCAACTAGTTTGCATGAGCTAAGCTAAGTGAGCTTCACTGTCAGCTGGAATTGAGCCTAAGAAAGAGGCCTCAGGGCTTGAAGCCTACACATCAAAGCTGAAGTACCAACCCCAAAACACAAGACACTTCTGCAACGTGTGTTATGCATACCTCTTCCTGTATACCTCTCTCTCTCTGCATACTGCAGAGGTGCTACCTCACCTCCTAACTAGCCCAGCTCCTAGTATTCACGTACTTCCTGCCTTTCTCATAGTCACTCATCCCATAGCCACATCCTTCTTCACAAATTAATAAATGCTGGGTTTGGCCTTGGCTTGAGGCCTTTACTCTGGTTAGCTATTGTTCTGATTGGAATTAGGATCCCTTTGGCTCCCCACCACTAGAGGTATGTGATTATCTCTTTATTCTTGCTGTGGGTTGTACCAGAAGTGGTATGCTGGAAGGACTTACTGGAATCCAAATAACTTTTCCCTGGGATTACAAATGTGAGCTCCTCTAGACCACAATAAGGCCTGTGGAGAGGGATCTCCATTATAGTATACAACTCTACCATTATCGAGGGAAAAGACACTAAATCTGAAAATTCAGGCCAGTATTATTGTTGCTTTGCTATACTATGGATTGAACCCAGGATGTTCACACTGAGTTACATCCCTAGCGTTTTTGTTTTTTGGAGATAGGGTCTCACTTAGTTGCCCAGGCATGGTTTGCAATAGTGTTCCTTCTGCCTCGGTCTCCTGGGGCACCAGGATTACAGACATCCACCAATACTGTTCAAATAAATCTTGTATAACCTTGTGGCACATGGCACATGGGCTGGCGCTTAAGCAAATGGCAGAATGTAGCTGCCGGAGCAATCCTAGAAGGCAGCAGGCCAAGTAGCACATCACTCACCACGTCCTTCCTATAAAGCACCTCCAGGATATTGCTGAGCAGCTGGCAGCAGGCCTCCAGGTCCTCTTGTCTTTCCAGATGGTACTTGAGTTGCTCGGTCATCATGGGAAGCAAGATCTCTCTGCAGTCTGTGGGACACAGAGTTGCCAGTCAGTGGGACAGCCACCAAGGCACAATGCGTATTTCTTAAGAAACTTGTGCACTTTTCTCCAGGCATTTTGCATTCACATTCTCCAACATGGAAACTGACAACTGCAGAGGGCCAATTATATGACTGTATCATTTCTATTGCTATATCAATAATTTATGCAAACATTCATACGTACTTGCCTATATACATACATACATACCCCTCCATACAAATACAGAACCAGTAATTCATAAACATATACAACATATAAAAATACACATATACATACATAACATGGAGTACATAAAAATACAAATATATGCACAGATTTTATGTTATTTTCTATTGTAAATTCATTGATTTGTTATATTTAATGAAGTACTTCTCATACCAAAAGTTATTCTAATGGTAGATTTTTTAGTCTGTTCCTAGAAAAACCAAGACATGGTCTGCTTCTCTAGGCAAAAGTCGTCCAGCTCTGGGATGTGACAAATACACAGAGATCCCTTTCCAAGTAAGTGTGTAGACTAGACTAAAGAGGGAGGAGGAAATGGCAATTTCAGATGCAGGAACACCACCACATCTACAAAACAAAGGAACACTGGAGGCCAAGGACCAAGTCAAGTAAGGTTTGGGTTTTCCTTTCTTTAAATAGGAACAGAGTAAGAGATTTCATAACATAAAACAGCAAAAAAGAGACAGATACAAGTAAGATTAAAAATGAAAGGAAATCCCTAATTGTTTCTTACAAATGGGAAATCCAATATAACTCGCATCAGCCACTCTCCCAACATGGCCTGATTCCAATAACAGTTTTAATTTTAACATTAGCATGGCCATGGCTACTTCCTCCAAGATGCAAAGCAGGAGAGAAGCAGCAGTGCTCTGCAACATTAAATAGCTGTAGCTGGGTTTTAGGATTGTACATTTCAGAACTTACAGCATTAATGATATAGAAAAGCATGCTTGTATTTACGTTTCCTGACATTTTTATGTAAGAAAAAAACCAGCAACATTGAAATGGCTCCTGTAAGGATTCAGAAGGATACTCAGAACTTTCCCAAGGACAACACAGTAATGAAAGACTTGATTGAGAAAAAAGCACAGGCAAGGAAAAAGATTCATAAAACAACAAAAACTCTTCTGCTATTCAGTTTCCCAGTAGGCTATAAGTAGGTAGATTATGCCAAAGCTTTTTTCAAACTTTCCTTCAATTTATTCATTTCCAGAAGGAATTTTGTCCAAAGAGTATGTGAATATATGGGTTTCCTTGCTGACTTCACAATTACAATAATCCTTGGGCACAAGTAAAGCACAAGATGTTAACTGCTGCACCTCTGGAATCCTGCAGGAGGTCAGAAACACAAAGCACAAAGGTGAGGCTGCCTGAAGGACCAGGAGGGCCCCTTTGTGCCTGGCATTTTGATGTCAGGGAGGCCTTAAACCAATTCCCTAACCTTCTCACCCAACTCTCACTGTGAAACCCATGAAAAACCTGAAGCCCTCATGGAGACCCTGAACTTTAATGAAGTGATTCAAAAGGCTGCAATGTGCTATCTCTACAGGAGATTGTGGCAGAGTGAGAATCACCTAGAGATGAGGCCAAACCAAGGGAAACCACACCAGAAAGTGAAGTCATGGGACTAAACCTGGTTAGAAAATACTAACACACTGACTGCTATTGCTACAAATATATCAAACCCCAATGCTCTTCCTGTGCAATTCCAGTATCCACAAGCTACATCAAACCTCAGTAACTAGATCTACTGTCCTTATCTGCATACAACATCCAGTGCAGGGCAGCACTCCAACTCCTCCTCTCCCCCCAGCTGTGCTGGTTCAGTGGACTAAAAAGATTACTTGACTAACCATATCCATGCCCAGCCCTGCCATCTCCTTCCATATGGTCCCCATTTGGACTCTCCAGATGAGTAATCTCTCCCTTCTGGAAATACCTAGCCTCTATATCTCACCCTCAACATATGGCAAGCCCTAAGCCACATCCATCCCTATCACTGCCACCATTCTAGAGAACATGTCAATTTCCAATGCATCTCTGAAGGAGAAGTTAATGTCACTAAGAGCTAGCAGGGATCATAATCCCTGACAATGTGACTAGGAAACACCAATGACATAAGCTTATCAACAATGTGTTTTGAAGCCAGCTTAGCAGGGACCTAAAAAGAATAGAAGGCCTGTCCAATAAAGGTTTGAAGGAAGGGTATGTTCATGAATGATTCAGAAAAAGGGAACTGGTTCTTCAGGCTGTGATACCCAGACATCCTGGCTTACATTTGTTCATTACAGTACCACTTCTTTGTCATGCTGGACAGGCAGTTATGTACTGTACTGTTCTCAGAGTTAATTGGGTGTGTTTTGGTCTCATTTTGTCAGAATTACTCCATGGTGAAGGAGGTGATATCTACATATCATATACATATGAGTGGGTGTTGCTACCCAACACCCACTCAGCACCACGGACTGTTAACTTTGTTATCCAGCTTCTCTTGATTAAAAAACAAAAAAGAAAAAAAAAATTACCTTTGGAACCATCATTGCCAATTTGGTACTTTTAAAGGCATTCCATTCACTAAGCCCCTAAGTAAAAATAAATAAATTTTAAAAAAGGGATTTGTTGCAATCTTTTTGATGGACTGATAGCCAACTGCATCTCACCCTTCATTACCCATCCATCCAGGGCAGGAAATGAGGACAGGTGTAGGCTGAGAAGATAAAATGAGACGAAACCTGATGGATGAGGTTGCAGAAAGCAACCTAACAGGCCACTATGAAAGAACCCCCTGCCGCAGCACCAATAGCATGAGAAATCTCTGACAGTACAGAGTTCTAGATGACCACAGGACAAGACAGGACTACCAAGACTAAGCAGCCAGACCGTACATTTCCTTCAGAGTCAGATGTCACATTGCCCATGTCAGGGATCTCAAACAGGTCTTCAAAAAAGAGGATCAGCACTGCCTGTTACCACGTCCACACAACCCCATTACAGCCCCCTAGAGAAAGAAAGGCAAATCCCCAGTGTCCTTCAGAGAAGCTTGGAGGACTAAAGCCAAAGGCCACATGAGTCACACAGTCTGATGTGCTGGTGACCCATTATCTGTAGGCCTCTCCACATACATCTACGTACAATAGGCCTCAAAGGCCAAGGTCCTGGGCACTTGAAACACTCATTGTTTTAGTTGTCTATTTTCTTCATTGCGATGGCAGAAAACAGTTGTAGCATAAAACCAACATCTGACATTAGCTCTCTCTCTCTCTCTCTCTCTCTCTCTCTCTCTTTCTCTCTCTCTCTCTCTCTCGTGTGTGTGTGTGTGTGTGTGTGTGTGTGTGTGTGTGTGTGTGTTTCATAGTCACAATATGGAGAAGAGACTCCTCTTCCTTTGCGGATAGTTGGTAGGTATTTACTTTTGTTCATACTTGTTGTTTATCTGTGAACTATGGTGATTCACACCTGTTAAATGGTGAGGAGAGCCCCAGTCTGGAGCAGCAGAGTTCTGTTCTTGAAAGACAACTGAAGTACAATGTATCATTAACAGGCCTTGTCTAATGTTTCTGGGAATCCAGTTTTACTAAAAAGATTCCAAGCCAATCTAGATGATAGCAAATAGGTGCATACAGAGGCATGTGTGCATATGTGTGCTGATTTGGTTTTAATTTATAATTACATGCTTAAGGTGTCATATTAAAGCTTGTGTAAGAAAGCAGTTCTAGTGCTCAGCTCTTGATAAATAGTGACTATTAAATACACAAACAACGACGTTATTCAAAGTCAGGTTTTTCAACTGAAATTAGACTCAGCCAGATATGTGCAAACGTGCACACACATACATACACACACCTACTGCATGTGGATGACTTTAACACACATAGTATCCACTCAGTTTCTATCCTGGACAGCAAGAACTTAACACAAGTATCACAAAAACCCCAATTATGAAAGCATTTCTCTTATTCTGTACTACAGTCTTCAGACTAAGTTTCTTCAAGAAGTGGCAGGGCACAGGTTTGAATAACAGTAAGCCTCTCAAATTTTATCTTATAACAAGATGCAACACTAGGAGCATTGAGAAAAGCACACCACATCAGCACAGCCCACACCCCATATCCCTCCCTGCAGCAAAGTACTGTACTATGAAAGAGGAACTCCCATCAGATTATGGGTGTCACAACATGAACCACTAAATATCCTTTCCCATGCACAAAATGTAAATTCTACATAAAGAGTTGCACTGATAATCTCATTAGGTATAAATCACATGGCTAATTAAAAAAAGACTTTATGTTTTAAAGGAAAAACGTATTCTTAAACAAACCACTAACACATAACTTGGCGTAAATGCCTGCCTTGCAAGCATGCGGTTGTGAGTTCGATCCCCAGTACTGATTAAAAAAAAAAAAAAAAAATCACACATAACCTTTTGAAAACTATGAAACTAGTCAGAAGTCTAGTAAACTGATTCAAACCATGAAAAGCCAATAATCAGATTCATTTCATTCATATGTATCAAAAAATGCTGATATGTCTGCTCACTGTTCACTATAGATCTTAAGCAATTTACTTAAATGCTGTAGGTCTCAATTTTTCTTATCTGCAAAGTGGGACTACTGCAAATCTCTCAGGATTATTCTGAGAACTAAATGATACCAGGTGTGCATTTAGCAAACAGCACACAATCAATGGTAGCTGTTAAAATCAATAGAAATAACAGTGTACAAAAGTCTATCCTTTTGAGTAAACATACACTAAGAAAAATTAATCCTTCACAACTATGCTATCTGATACGGTAGTCATTGAGCACTTGAAATTTAGCTGGTATCATGGAAGAATAAAATTTTTACTTTCATTTAATTAATATACTTTAAACTCAAATGTAAAAAAAAAAGCACAGTTGACTTGAGTTACTGAAAACAACTAAAGAACAACTAAACAACTAAAAAACAACTAAAGAACTTGAGTATGTGGATCTAATTTTTCAA